TGGCTTTCAAGACGAGCTAGAGTTCTCAGCACTTCTACAACATTGTGTTCGATGCCAGGCAATGAGCGAAGCTGTATATGGACCTGTTCGGCGCTCACCAGCTGCTCAGTGTGATCTGGGCTAGCCATCCCACCCAGGCTGTTGGGGCTAGTCCCCAAAAGCTACCTAAAAACTACGGAAAAACGGGAGCCTCAATACACGCAACCTACTACACCCCTGTTATAGTCACCACTATAAATAAAAATCCAATCCAAACTCCAATACACGCAAATACCTTTGACTACGTGAACGAGACCAAACAGAAAAGCAATCATCAGCATAACTAGAACGACAATCACTATTCTGAACAAGATGGTTGGCGATAGAAGATTCATACACCCTAACAACGCTACTAGAACCAGTACATACTTTGGAATTACGTGACAATGAGTTGTCGTCATCGTCGTCGTCAGCGTCTTCCTCATCTCCCTCCTCCTCTTCATCAACATCAACAGCCATTGGAACGTCAAAGGGAGCATCATCGCAGCAGGCAGTGCCAGCAACGGACGTGCCTTTGGTGCGGACATCTACATCGGCCTCGTCTGGATTGGCAGTAGCGGCAAGGAATGTCACGTCGGTTTCATTGTCACGTAATTCCAAAGTATGTACTGGTTCTAGTAGCGTTGTTAGGGTGTATGAATCTTCTATCGCCAACCATCTTGTTCAGAATAGTGATTGTCGTTCTAGTTATGCTGATGATTGCTTTTCTGTTTGGTCTCGTTCACGTAGTCAAAGGTATTTGCGTGTATTGGAGTCTATTAACATTTTCACCACTAAGCCGATTTTGTGTAGGCAGAAAAAGAATTTGTTTACGTTGAAATTGTTTGTGAATTTAGATCAGTAGTTCTCGTTTGTGGTTGCATGGTAACTTTCTAGTGGTGAATTTATCGCATCTGTTGTCACCTGATATCGTTGAATGGTGTAATGTTTCTTTCAGCTCTCATTTTATCGCGCTAGTTAGGGTCTAAATTATTACTTGCATTGTGCGTATATATATTGAGTTAAGAGCTTTTGTTGATTTGCCAGTAATCCTCTGATGAGATGGCGACGAAAACGTTTAGGAACAAGCTTCTTTATTTACATGAAAACAAGTTTTTCTTATGGTGTTTGTACTGAGTGCGCAGCTTACTCTATTTATTGCGTTGATTATTATTATTATTATTATTATTATTCAAAGGATCAGTCGGGGAAGTGAACTGCCTGAAAAGAGAAAAAAAACGCCAGACCCACCAGGACTCGAACCTGGGACCCTGCTTGTCATGAGCAATGCTCTAACCACTGAGCTATGGGACCAGGCTGAACCTAGAAGGCGCTGACAAGTTTTTCACTCCAAAGGCAGCTCACAACACGTGCCACACATACTGATGGCACTTGGGTCTTTTTCCCTCCCCCAGGGGACCAACCACGGTCAGTTTCTGGAAACTACCAGAGGTGAAAGAAAGTGATTAAATTTGGAAAGGATTGGGAGAACTTCAAATTCAAAGGATCAGTCGGGGAAGTGAACTGCCTTTGAATTTGAAGTTCTCCCAATCCTTTCCAAATTATTATTATTATTATTATTATTATTATTATTATTATTATTATTATGTGCTTGTTCGCGTATACATCAGCATGGCCTGCAGCTGCATTAATGGGCACGCAAAACATTCAAACCAGGCAAAAGTGTTCGCATAAGCCACTTCGAATAGATACGAAAGATCACCAGTAACTAACTTTACAATTCGCTTATGCGAATGATGCGATACCATTGCACTACACTGACCAACGGTACTGCCCTTCTACACTGGCTATCAGCTCCTGCATTTAGCAATGTTATCGCATGAGCTTATTGCAAAATTTATAGGGACCGGCGGATTATGCCGGCAGAACAATTGGCATAATTCGGTACTTTTTCTGGTAAGTTTAATGCATGTTTGGCACGTGGATAAAGAAATGGAGCAGAATTGGAGGAATTGCCCACCATAAGGTTTGTATGGTTCTGCCAATTTCACTGCTGTTCGAGCAGAATCTGCCACCTTTTCGAGCAGAATCCGCCGGTGCGTACAAAGTAACCGGTGTTCTTGCTCCACATACACCGACATGGACCGAGACAACAGAGGCAGGAGCACACAGAGTGAGCGTAGTAGGCCGCAGCCAGATGTGAACCGGAATGCCGAAGAAAACTAGGAGCAACAACAGGGGGACAGACCCCAGCAGAAAATAATGAGTACATTTGGCTAACAAAAATAGGCCAGGACAAACACCACTTGGGACCGTCAGATTAATTTCTCTTGACCGAGCCAGCCGGGAAAAACCCTCACGCCGACGTACGCAAGAATGAGGGAAAACACCGAGTGTATAACCCCAAGTGGCCACATGTCAGCATAAAAAAAGGCACAAAACACCTGTATCTACAGCCAAGAAAGAAGGGGAAGAGGATGGGCAGACATGAGGGGTGGGAGGGTGGGGAGACTGGGGACACTGGTGATACTCAAAAAACTGACTGAAGAAGTCAGGCAAAAAGAACAGGAACAAAAAAAGAAACATCAGATGCCATATTCGTAAGAGAAAACAATTTGTTGCGCGAGAAATCATTTCTCGCTCCTTTCGGCCGGCGAGAAATATAACGTCGTATTAGTGGATATTGTAGCCTAACTTGTAGTTCGAAGTAGTGGTTGCGACTTCGGCGATGATTTGTAAGAAAGGGTTTGCTCCCCACACCGGAGCTCGCGCAATTCCGCCGACTTTACTTGACACTTGACTGATTCACGACTGTCATCCAGAGCACACGAGAAGTCCATCGAACCTTCGACTCGGCAAACCTGCAAGAAAGCACCACTCCCTGCTCAATACACAGTGTTTCGGGTAATTCACCCCTCATCAGTTGAGCTTGAGTAGGCTGAGGAAGATTGTGCCTGAAGAGCACCACTTATATAGTGCTCTCCAGGCACAAACATCACCAGGGATACAAACTTACAGAGACGCTCCGTTTCCAGCGCGACAAACACCTCGTGAACACCAGATAGCAGCGTGAGTCAGTGTCGCTCCTGGACGGTGAGACAGACGTCGAGGACCCTCGGTCATTCGCAACGCTGTCACCTCCAAACCAACTAGTCGCAAACCCGCGCTGGGCACAACAGTACGAAGTAGTGGTTGCGACTTCGGCGATGATTTGTAAGAAAGGGTTTGCTCCCCACACCGGAGCTCGCGCTATTCCGCCGACTTTACTTGCAACTTGACTGACTCACGACTGCCATCCAGAGCACACGAGAAGTCCATCGAACCTTCGACTCTGCGAACCTGCAAGAAAGCACCACTCCCTGCTCAATACACAGTGTTTCGGGTAATTCACCCCTCATCAGTTGAGCTTGAGTAGGCTGAGGGAAGATTGTGCCTGAAGAGCACCACTTATATAGTGCTCTCCAGGCACAAACATCACCAGGGATACAAACTTACAGAGACGCTCCGTTTCCAGCGCGACAAACACCTCGTGAACACCAGATAGCAGCGTGAGTCAGTGTCGCTCCTGGACGGTGAGACAGACGTCGAGGTCCCTCGGTCATTCGCAACGCTGTCACCTCCAAACCAATTAGTCGCAAGCCCGCGCTGGACACAACAGTACGAAGTAGTGGTTGCGACTTCGGCGATGATTTGTAAGAAAGGGTTTGCTCCCCACACCGGAGTCAAGTGTCAAGTAACGTCGGCGGAAGTAGCGCTAGCTCCGGTGTAGGGAGCAAACCCTTTCTAACTTGTAGTTCTTGAAAAAAGAAATTCGATGGGGTTCGCGTACCGGGCAGGTCAAGATCAAGGATGTAGCTCTTTGGTCCCCATTAATTCTTATAATTAGAGAGGTTCCGCATAACGTAATTACGTTAGTAAAAAACGTAGTCGATCTACGGAAAGTCTTACGTAAACTGCATGCGGATCTGGGTTCCGCCATACGGAGTTTTCAAATCACGTAGCTGCCCTTGGCAACTCCGAACGCGGCAGTGTACGACCAGATCGACATGGGGAGAGAGTCATAAATTTGTACCCAATCCATTAACGGACCAGCTACGTTATCAGAGCCCTATCTACGTACTCTCCGTAGACAACTTTCCGTTGGTGGAGTGCAAACTCGCGAATTCACGGGTTTTTCCCGCCCACTAACGTAAAGTTGCTCAACTTTACGTAGTGCGGAACCTCTCTATTATAGTACAATGCCCGGGGGTCCATTTGCTGGGGGGTCATTCTACTATAGTACACCGGTGAAGCAAGTACATGAACAGCACACGTGCTCAGCACGTGGTGGTGGCTACACGATTCGCACCCTTCGCGTGCTCAGTGCTTCTGCGGCCGCTAGCTACACTGTTCGCACGCTTCGCGTGCTCAGCCTCAGGGCAGCGCTGCTCCGCAGCGCTTCTGCGTAACACACAGACAACCACACAGACAAACACACGTCACAGGTGCCTCTTCTTTATAAGTAAAGATTAATATTCCTTGGCTCTCCATCCCAGTTTAATAATGAATTTATTTTGTTGGTGCCTAGAAACCACCTTTTTTGGCCGAACTCGAGGGTTTAGGCTTCATTTTTTTTAATTTCAAACGTGAGAGAAAACGTGCGTTGAATCGCTTTTTTCACCGTGAATTGGCCCTCCTTCGCGTTGAAATCTCACTTTGCAACGTGAGGAGCGCCATTTTGGCCTTGCGATTTCACGTTCGAAGTCGAAGAAAACGTGAAGCACAAACTCTCTACTAATTTGCAAGAGAAGCGTGCGCCTCGGCTTTGAATGACATACATGTTTGAGGATGTACATGTTAAACAAAAGATTAACTTATCGTGGCCGTTCCGGAAGGGAAACTCACGACGGCCGATAACATCCGGTAAACCATCTGAGTTCTTAAAGCTATTATTCATTTTCTGCTGCCCCCGGTTATTTCTTTTATTAGTTTTATTTTCTTTGCCTTCGCTTTCTTGTTATTGGGTAACTTGCCCGTTAGAATCTGCGAAGTAAAATAAACAACAACAACAACAACAACAAACCCTAGCAGTAGGTGCATACGATGTCATGTTTGAGCTAAAGTCAACGTCGTGAAAAGTAGTGCTGCGGGAACTCGTTCGGGAGCATTCTAAATGTACAATCATGTACATGTACACGTAGGGGAAGGGATTATGTACATGTATGTGTACGTGTACATGTACGTGTACGTGTACGTGTACGTGTATATGGTGTGGGCATACCAGAGAGCGAAGTATACTAAGTTTGCATATGAGTTTGCGAAGCTCATTCTTAAAACAATTAATGTATGGTTCTGCTGTTACTTTTTAGGCTCGGTTGAGCCAGTTCCATAAGAGGGAGGTTTAGAAGAGAAACCTGCTGTAGCTGTGGGACCATCATCCCCTGCTTTTTGCTCACGTGCCTCCAAAACTGTCTGTCAGGTCAATCACAACAGGGACTACATTATCAGACGCTGTAGACATCGCTGCACTGCCAACAGCATTGGTCGCACAGGACGCTGGGCCTCCGGTCGCCCTACGCTGGTTGGCGTCACGAGGGTTGTATGGCATCCACGTACCGTCCGCCTTGTGCTCGATATGATCGACTGACGACGGGCACTTATCTAGCAACTCCTTCATCAATCCGTCAATCATAAGACTGTCATAAATGGCAGGGCAGTCACAAATTGGACACACCCAGGAGCCGTTCTTCTCGTTCATCTGCAGGAAACTGGCCATGTCGAAGCAGTTGACATGCTTACAGTTTATCGAGCGGCCGGGATAGACGAGCCGTGTCGTTCCCAGTGGGCACTTCAACGAAATGCGTAAGCTGTTATCTAAAACCTCTACATCGCCACCGCCGCTGGTCAGCTTATCCCTGATGTACGCACGGCACATGTCTGCACTGCGGACACGCTGACATACCTGCTGCAGCAGGTCGGCTGATGATCGCTTCAAGCACAGCTCCACAGTGACAACATACTTGCTTATTGCTGGCACTGGCAAGCACACAATCTCTATGATGTTCGTACCGCTGAGTAGCATGTTGGCAGTTATCTCCACCGGCTGACCATGCATTTTCAACTTACCGGACGACTTGGCCATCTCATACCCGGGCATGATTACAGTCTCCCTATTCACGTAGAGATGGCACTTGGGTGGGTATTGATCGTCTTGCATAGAGCTCAGGTTGCATTCAGCAAATCGGACCAGCACCCCTACGGTGAAATGAATGTCGCTCTTGTGGCCGGGTCCGTACACTGATGGAACCGTGTGACGGCCTTCTTCCACGCGAGCACCCTGCTGCGGTGTCAGGCTACACTCAAACTTTATAGTTCGAGGGGCTATGTTTTCTCCATTGTCAAATGACGGCAGCAGAATAGGCTTCGAAAGGGTGTCCAGTTTTTCATGAAATGGCATTGCCTTGAATTGAACATCCACAACAGAACCCGAACTCCCAAGCAATTGCTTCTGTACACCCCCGAGACCATGGCCAGGCGCTGCTGTTGCCGCTTGCGGAAACCGCTTCTGGTAATATAGGTCAAGCTTGGCCAATACGGGATGAAAGGACGCACTCTTAATGGCAGAGTTGATGCATACCAAAGCCCTTTGACGAAGTCGATCCTTTTTGCCGTCAGTGTTCAAATTGCATGACTGCAGAAATCCTTGAAGCTCTTCTACGCGGAGAGCGTGGACCATTCTCTTGGCCAATTTGGACTGCTCGATAGAGATAGTTTTTCTGGCTTTAGACATATTTCTTGCTGGCAGTTCTAAGAAATGATTGAAAAATTGAATGATTTCAGCTAGTGAACTGTAACCTTCAACAGGTTGACGGAAGTTGCCTTCTACCACACTACGACAGCTATCTGGAACTGGAACTAAATCTCTCAGCAAGCAAAAAACGTTCCTTGCAGACTTTGGCCAAAGCCAAGGCAAAGGTGCCACAATCGGGGGTGTCAAGGTATTATTACTACTGTACAGAAGTGGCTATAAAGAACATAGCCTAACCGAGTGCAAACGCAGCAAATATTGGATATTAGTCTCGTCAGAGCAGATAATGTTAGGAGAAGAGCACCAACAGATTGTCTCGCCAGAAACAGAAGCATGCTATGATATACATGTATCATACGAGCAGCGGCAGTAGCCATCGGTTTTCGGAACATGCTGCTGAACTGCGATGTTGTCCGCTGCGCGTATCGGTCATCGGCCACACCCGCACACGCATGCGTTGATCTAGAAGCGGCTGTCATGATGGTAAGATTCGCAAGCTGTGATTTTGAAGAGCACGGGCCAAAGTCCAGAGAAAGTGAACTCGTGACGACCATCATGTAGTACACTTTCAACCGTAAATGCTCCAGTCCTATGGACTGCAGGCAAACGTATTCACAGTCTATCAGTGAAACCCTAGAGAACATAATAATAATTATGTAACTGCTCTACCTACAGAAGAATTATATTGTGTCTAGTGAAGTAGGTATTACGTATGTCGTAGTCGGTCGGCCCGGGGTTGGACCCCAAGGCTGCGGTTCGACATGAACTAACTTACTAATAAACCTTCACATTACAAGGCCGTGCAGTGGTGGCCACTTGGAGAGAGTCCACCAACAGAATTACTCTTACGCACGCACGCACATATACACACTCAGGCATATACAGACACGTACACTCACACCAGCGTTCAGGTTGACTCACATCTTCAAAAGGAGCTAACTTGGTTCAAGAGACGATATTGAGAGCACAAGGCAAGACAGACGAAAGCCGAAGCTTCCGCCTGAAGGCGGAAGGCAAGAGAGAGAGAGAGAAAAGGAAGGTGATGGCAATAGTATCTAGTTGCGGCCATGGAAGTCCATGGCCACGAGATTGCTGGTCCCGCATGCAATAGCGTATCAAACCGTAGTACTGTTGCATAAAGAGCGGGAGCCATGTGGGGAAATAACAGCATATACCAAATAAGGAAGGCCCCAGGCCTTGTGTGAAGATTAATAAAGACGATTATGAACCCGTTTACGGGAGATAGATAAATAATTAGACACCTAAATAAGGCATACTTGTCCCGTAGGGGCCTAAAAGGCACGTGTCAATAGTATGGATACGACACGTACACTTCATTACGAATAGCTATCAGCAGTACAAGCCCTCACTCTCCGGCGGTATGACAAAGGCAAACACTTGAAAGAGCAAGACTAGACAAGGCTCCAGTGGAGTGTGCACGTGACATGTGACGCGTGTGGCTGGGTGATGTCACCACATTTCCAAGTGTTATGTGAATGTGAAGAAGACGTTGGTGTGACTTCGCCGATAATAGACCGATATCCCTTTATTATACTGGGTTCGAGCACGGGGGCTACCTCTCCTGTGATCGAGCTAGTTTTTGAACGTGACAGCATCCTTTACAGTTTGTTTTCCGGTTTGTTTTGGAATGTCTTCTGCTTAGTTCAAGTGGTGTACGATGGCTTCGAGCGGTGCTGAACCTCCTGCTGGTAGGAGCAGAGTCTCCGAGAGAGACATGGACTGTGATGCAGCTGCAGGATTTTTTGAAGGCGCGGGAGGGAAAGATCTCGGGCACAAACAGCAGTTACTCTAGAGGTGATTTTTTTGTTATAGGGTACCTCACTTCAGACTCTCCAACTACGGTCTCTTCGCTGCATATGTTCACTTCACTTCCAAAAAAAACAAATAATATTAGATATAAATTGAATGCACCAAATTTTCGGGCATGGCCCATCTTCAGGGTGAAAAAGAAAACCATTCAACTAAAGCTAACAAAAACTGAAACGAGTATATATGCTGTGTGGTGCGGTAGTGCTGGAAATCTTTGTATGTGTGAAGGGTAGCAGCAATGGTGAAGTGTGTTGGTAGAAAGTGTGTTGGTAGAAAGGGAAGGAGCGAAAGAGACCAGTGGAGAGCTGTGTCTGTAAGTGTGAATATGTGTTAGTGCGATTGCGGCTGCAATGGAGTCTGCGAGTGCTTAGAAAAGATTTTTTTGTTGTTGAAATATTCGAATCGCGAATCGTCTTGTGAGATTTATTGTTGTGCCTAGGCTACAGCAGACCGTATTCCTTTCTCCTTGAGATCGGTGCTGAAGAAGATAGTAACCTTTTCAGTGTGCCTTTTCTTCTTCAGGACTATCTTCTATGAAGGTAACCGTGATGCTGCCAAGTCACGATCGCGATCGGCAGCCCTGAAGTGGAAAAATCGATTTTCCAACGGTCTGGTTGGACATCAGCAACTAAAGTACTTCTGATTTGCCTGTAGTGACAACAGCAGCCATCCTTGGACACCTTGCAAAGAGAGGAAAGGCAACTGGCGGAAGCGACTGCTATGAGGTGACGATAGCAGTGGCGATCGCTGTTTTGTCAAGTCGAAGGGCTAGCCAACCCAGAGGAAGCATTAAAAAATGATGAGCAGTGTGTGGTATTTGTTGAGCGTGAAGAGCTAGAGGAGGACAGTGCAAACGCATGGAAGGAGTGCATGGTGTTTGAAGAACAGTGTGCTGTGTGCCGGCTGGTGGTGATGGTGGTCTTTGGCAGCATGACTGTATTAGTGATGCTTCTTGTGCTGGAACACTTCTCACCCAGGAAGGCAGATTGCGTGCTCTCTGGCCCTCAGTCGCCAATGGGGCATTTGTTCCAGAAACATTACCGCAGAGCCTGTGATGAGTCGGACCTTTGAAAAGTCGAAGTTTGCCATTGGTTGGAAGCCTAGCGCAGTGGATTGCTCCCTCTTCGAAGCACTCTGTCTGCATCAAGGTGTGTGTGTGTGTGTGTGTGTTTGTGTTTGTGTGTGTGTGTGTGTGTGTGTGTGTGTGTGTGTGTGTGTGTGTGTGCGGTTCTTTCAATCGCCCCCTGCCCCGGCCTTGTACATGTATACGAGGAAGGCGTTGTATACGAGGACGGCCTTCTATTTGCGGAAATACGGTAGTTCTATCTGAGTGCGCGACGTCCTCACTTTTACCTCCTGCCCAGTGACACTGGTCCCTGTTTCCTCTCCCCTCCACTACATTGTTTGTTTGTATACTTTATTTGAATTCGCTAATCAAAACGAGCACAAATGTTCAATGACAAGGCAGCGATTATGTTATTATGTTACCGGGAAGGAGGGTTGTGGGGAAAATAAGGAGAAAAAAAGAGAGCGATAAAAATAGGATACGAAGGACGAAACAGTTCTGTCCGCACATTGAGGGGTTATGAAATGTGTATAAACTATTGCATGCAGGGGTAGTGGGGACATGGGACAAATATGGGGGTTATGAGATGTGTATAAACTAACGCATGCAGGTGAGTGATCCAAATATGGAATACAAATAATTAGTCTTTGAGCAAATTGTAAAATTAATTGTAACAAACACACCTGTACAGAACCACGCACAGTCGCACATACATACAGCTACATGCACACATGTACAGAACCACGCACAGTCGCACATACATACACCTACACACACACATTCGGCATACACCCACATGCACAAAATGTATACTCTACCTTTAATCCGACCATTCCGAGCCTCGGAGACCAGTTCGGGTTCTTGACCCAACTGGTCGAACCTGGCCGACGGGTTTACCGGTGGCGGTGGAGGCGTGGTGGGCGGGGGAGGGACCACCCGGGCCCGGGTCCGCTGCTGGAGACGGACTGCTGCCCGTCGCCGTGACCTAGCCACAGAGCGGGCTTGCCGGATGTTGCGGCGCCGTTGGATGGTGCGGCGAGCATCCTCTGGCGACAGACGTGGTTGGGTGGGTGGTTTACGTTGTGATGCGCTTTGTGGCTGAGGCGGTGGTGGCGGGGGTTGCTGTATCTGAAGGGTGATGGTTCTGTGCACCACGCGAAGTCGAAGCCAATAGAGAAAAACGCAACACGTAACACAACATTGGGATCCGAGTCGCCGAGGGTTCTTACACAACGCACAGACATTATGCAAGAAAAATATGGAAGAGCGAACAGGTCCGCACTAAGTATCCTACACAAGGCAGTAAGGCTGATAAGTTTGATGCACCCGAAACATCACAAAAGGATACCAATTAACACAAAAGGGAAAACGAACAAGAACACAACTGCAGGCAGAAGCACCTATGACTAACACAATACACAAGCTTATCGAAGTTACTCACGCGGCGAATTGGAAACTGCCGGGAATATTCATGACAAATACCGGTAACTAGGTGAAGTCGACTTGGTAGAGCGGTGGGCTTGGGTTGACTGCGCTTGGATATCTTTGAAGCCCACATGCACTTGGAGTGCCCTTATAACAAATACTGGGTTCTACAAGAAACTGGGCTTAGAGATAAGGTAAACGGTGTTGTGCGGTGTTCAACAACAATAACACAACAATACCAACCACTTGCTATTTGTACAGATCCACGAAATCGAGACTTAATAAAGGACAATGATATACATGATCTTTGAAGCGTTGAACTATGCACCCATTGCCCAAATGAATTATATCGGTTTCTCCATTGCGTTAATCTCGTGTCTATTTTTAAATTTAATAAATGATCCAATGAAGTACCATTAATAGATAATGGAAATATGCGCATATCTGAATTTTTCCTTACCCTGGTCATGCCTACATAGAGAGAAGCAGTGCTAAGCTTTCCATCTTTCCTTTGTGGTTTTTCAAGGCAGAAGATAACCTTGGAAAGAGTTTGTCCTTGCACTTTATGGAATGTAATTCCAAATCCCAATTCATGGCTGGACGTAAATAATTTGATTTGTCCATTATTCCTTGAGAATACACGATCTTTTGGACCGATTGTTACATCATTTTGTCCTCTTCCGGAAATTGGTACAATGGGAGCTCCTTCGGTTCTTGCACAAGGGGCGTCCATGGGCCAACGATTCACTGTTTCAGGGAGGAGTTTGATATTCACTGCTTCAGGTAAATCAATCGTGACAAAATCTCCTGCTGCTGTATTATTGAAATCGTGCTGAAAGGCTTCCGAATTTGTTGAACCAGAAAGCACGATAGAGTCTTGAACGCAGGATGTACCAT